TGCAAAGATCAATATTTATTGAACACTGCCTCATTTGCTAATATCTTTCACTCTGTGATATCACCATACAGATATTACATACCTACCACAGAGGTTCCACATACGCACGCACTGTATTTGCATTCCCCAGACTTGTCCACATCTGACTTATAAAGGCATTAATTTATCAGCTTTTGGGCAATACACCAACCACAGGACTCCAGAAGTGCTGAGACTCAGAATACCATTAAAAAGTGTAACATGCACAGACTTGCAGCACCTTATTGCACAGCTGAAGTTGTTGAAATGTTTTTTTCTAGTTCTGTGGCCCAGATCTGCCAGCTGAAAAATCTTACCTAGGCAGTAGTTAAAAAGAATCAATGCTTATGATCAACTCACCTGCCTGGGTTTGTGAGATCCTATGGGAAACTTGTAAGACAGCTTGCTGTTTGATGCTGCAAATGTGAACAGCTACCTAGCTTGAACTGCCACCCGCGTTTGTTTGAAGAAACTACAGGTACAGAAGACAGAGGTGGAAACCCTTGTCGACCTTCTTTATAAGCCTTGCATTTATGATGCCTGAGTCTCCAGTTCAAATCTTGTCCCATAAAGTCCAGATTTGGCAGAGGAAAAATAGCCTTGAGCTGTTGAAGCACTACTACCTCCTGTAGTTGTAACCAAGGAAATACCAAGTTAACTCTATCGTATAACTTACAGAATGACCCAAACATCTGTTTCAGGCAAATATGCAACAAGGTGCCACGCTGGCACACGAACAACTAAAATACACTGAAGTGACACAGGCAAATAGGTCTCTTAGCTGCTGGCATTACACACAGCAACAGGCACTGAACTGAAAGGAGGCAGTTGGCTTTGATGAGAAGCGCCTGTTTCTTTGAGCATGTCTGTGCATAATCCTTGGGCCTTGTACACAGAGCTCCAACTCCCCATACTCTCTGCACATCCTAAACCACTCTGCAAACACCTTTTTCCCAACTACACCCAGGCATTATGTTACTTAAAATGTTGTACTTCCAACCAAGGGCAGAAACATATAAATATTAGTGGAAAATTTCATCTGCATTAGAGAGATGCTAACATTGAGAGCTTGTCTACATAGGGGACGTAGGTCAGAGGGAGTTGTGGAATGCTGCATCAAAGAAAAGGTGTCTGGGGAGGTTACTGGCTTTCTCCATTCACCCTTCCATGAAGCACATGCTCCTGTCACAACAGGAGAAGTGCTAGATAACCAGAGAGCCCACGCTTACTCCTTCGTCCCTATCACAGCTGGGCTCGGTGACTACAAGTGATGTCTCTGAAGAAATAAGCTCCCTTTCGTCTTGTTCCCAAAGCATCTGCAAAGAGACCCTCCCAAGGTGTAGGTAAAGCATGAAGAACTCATACACTGCTCAGTATCATCTGTACATAGATGAGTCTACAAGAGCACAACAGAGCAAAGTAACCAAGAATCACTCAAACCACTCTGCACATTTATGTAAAGCCTGTAAGACTCGTTTTACTTGCCAGAGAATCCCACAACCTTGACTCACTGACTGCATGGGGTACTGCTTATAAGATTATCCACCAAAAAATAATAAAATCACAGCTTCCCCATTGGTTTAATATCTGAATACAGCCCGTCATTAGTTAAGAGGGACAAAATAAGTGAGCTGATGGAGTCAATCTGATTATCCTGTGCTCCAGCTGATGAACATAAGCTGTTTAAAAAAATTAAAAAGCTATTAGACTATTGAAAATAGTTCTGAACAATAATCTCTGGATGCATTATTTCCATGTTTAAAGACCAACTGGTAGAAGCATGACTGCTAATACAGGCTGCCTGAAAATTCAATAACTGGAGATAATGCTCTATTTCTCTAGTGTTGCTGCCTAATTAGAGAATTCTGCTTCAGCTGAAATCCATTTAAGTGAGCAACATTCACATATTGTAAAGATAGATTAAGAATGTATTAGGTCAGGCCAAGAATCCTTCTGATATGAGCAGGCAATTACAAAAGCCATCCCTGATTTACCACCTCCACCTCTTTTATTGTATTTGTCTGCTCTGTCAATACAGAACAGTGGCAGGAATTGAAATCGATAATAATTCCCCTCCCCGTTTTTTCTTTTAAACTATCACAGTTGAAAAAAAATAGCTACTAAAAACCAACAGTCGTGCAAGAAAGCACAAACACCTGCTTTACAAAAAGGTGAGGGAAAGAGAAAATACTAGCTTTCCCTCTCTATAAAATCAGTGGCAAAATGTGCTAGAACACTGTACCCCAGAGGAAAGGGTGTTTTGCTGTAGTTTATGGGCAGCCAGTCTGGAAAGATTTAAGGTTGAATATTCACAAAAGCAGACCCACCTTACATGTTCATGAAGAAGAACAAGTGTCCAAGGTTCAAACAGTGCCCTTTTCTAAGGCCCTTATCTGATTGTAGAGCACTGCTGCAGTCCCACCTAATAAAGGAAAACACAGAATCATAGAATGATTAGGGTTGGAAAGAACATAATTATCTCCAGCAAATGGTATGAAATAAGCCTGCTGCCCAGTGCTCAGGGTAAGCAGGTTTGTTTAGAACAAAGCAAACCCCAGCAACACCAGCAGAGAGGAAAATGTTCAAAAGTTGTCCAGAAAGCCCATCGGAAACAGCTATTGAATGATGGGCTCCATGAGGTGTAAGGCTACACTTCCACATCTCTATAATTACCTTACCTTCAAAATCAATGGGAAGCAGCATGGGATTTGTAAAATCTACCAAACCTGCAGCGATAAGAAACTATTTTCCATGAGACACAATTGCATCATTTCATCTTGAAGCAGAAACACAACCTCATGTCATTAATACCGGGCAAATACACAAAGTTTTCTTCTGCTTTCAAGAGCACATTATTCCCTTCAGTTTGATGTATCAAAGAACATTATTTTAGAAGTTCAGTGGATTTACTGGCTACCGATGAACTTTTGCACATGCCTATAGTTAAGACAGGGTCATAGTTATATCACTTACAATGGCAAAGCCTCTTCACAATTTTCCTTTATTCCTTAACCACGACACAGTTAGTAAAAGCAAAGTAAAGTCAGAATTTCACATATTTGCAAAGTTTCCTCAATAGTCTTTCATGTCTATTTGGGCTGAAACTTCATGTATTCTGAATAATGGAAACAACGTTCAAAGCACACTTCCCCCCCAGAATTATACTCACTTAATGGTCCTTTACTTGTGATTTTGTGGATTAATTCCGTATAAATGTCTCTTTTAGGCTGAAAAAAAGAGAAATGTGTTTTAACATTTAAAGCAAAGCTAAATAATACTGTACTGCTGAGCAATTTTGAAAGCCACATTAAAAGACGATCACAGGAAAAAGAGGCATCTGTTACAAAAACACTACATGGCTCCTTCTCTGTGCTCTTCAATTTTGTACAGATACCCTTTTAATCCAGCATTTACAGTGCTGGACCAGTAACATGAAATCAGCCTTTATGATATGGCTTAAATGTTATTTCCTCCTCTAATTGACAAATCAGGTTTGGTGAAACTTGACCCTCACCTCAGTTCCACAGAAGGCACATTATACTGTTATGAAAGCATATGAAAAATGTCTATTTTGATGGTGGATCACAACTGCAACAGAATGTGTGTCTATGGCACGTATGGGGCAGGGGGATGCAGGTTTTCAGGAATCCTAAGTCATGGAATAGGGGGGACCTTAAAGCTCATCCACTTCCAACCCTCTGCCACAGGCAGGGACACCTTCCACTAGACCAGGCTACTCCAAGCTGCTTCCAACCTGGCCTTGAACACTTGAAAACATTACTTTTAGGGTTAAAGCCACAAGTCCAATTCTTTCTCTGACATTTCAGCATCTCCCTGGATAGAACACATGGAGGAATCCAGCTCTATTTTCATACTACCCAGCTGTCCTGCTCCCCCTTCTTTTCTATTCAAGGCCTTTTATGGGTCAAATAAGACCACAGTGAGGAGCAATTACTGATGTGTTATTCAGCCTCCCTGGAGCACAGGGGTGAGGTGCTGCAGCTTCACCACCTCTTGAACCACAGAGACCAAGAAGTTGTCTGAGAATCCCACCGCTAGAAAAGCCATGGCACTATATCCATCAAAGGTCTGAGAAAGAGTCTGGCACAAACCATGAGATCTAGCAACTCTAGAAAGACTTCATTCAATTTACTGTGATTTCATTTCCTCTGGGAATGGTTAAATATGTGTTTCCATAACAGAGTATCCTTGGTAAAGTTATCAAGGAAAGAACAAAAGGATGAAAAAATCAAACAGCTTGTTTACTTTATCTAAATTTGCCATAAAACATTAAACAAATTTATTAAAAAATGCATAAATAAAGGAGAGTAATTCAGCTTCCTATGAAAATCACCATCCCTCTCTTCAGACAGTCTGCCAGCATCAGCTGGTCCCTAAATAACAATCCCTTTGCTGTGTCCAGGACCTATAATTCAGATCACTTGGCTGAGTTAGCTTGTATATTCTATCCCATCTCTCCTACTCATTCATCTCTGTCTCAGACATAAAAAAGAACAGATAAAAGCAACACTTCCTTAAGCTTCAGGCAAACGAGGAGAGGAAATGTGTGACTGCTATCCATCTGCTAAAGCTCTGCAGCAGCTCCAGTACCTGCAATCTGAACTGGTCCATGAACATGTTAAGACACACAGATCCAATAAGCTGCTACATTAGCAGCACAGGGAAAAATTGCTACATGGTTACCCTAGACATAGCCCTGAGCAAGGAATATTGGCCTCATTTGCACTGCACTGAGGTATCATGCATCAGGCACAATGCAGCCAGAGCTCCAGCCCTGCTCTCCTCCTGCTTTGAAGCAGGGGGTTGTCCCAGCAGTTCCTGTGCACCAGGCAGGGACAGGCAGCACAGAGTTGAATACAGGTTTTTTCTCATTTAACTCCACCAAAAAATAAAACAACAAACCTATCCAGGCTTATGTATTGGCCCTTATCCAGCATATAATAAGCTAGATAAAGAAACCCAAGGTTAAAGAGGAGGTTCCTTACAGGACCACACACATCAACTCAGAAGGCAGCGCTAGAGGTCTCTAAATGCCTTTTAGCTTTGCTATCCTGAAGTGAGTTAGAGATGGGTTTTCTCCTTTAAAACCTAAGGATCAGACTGCCCAAAATATTTTTCCAGACACTGTGCTCCAGAGCCTGGAAGCTTCTAGGTTCTCTAAACTCAGAATTTATTCCACTGGCTTCTCTGTGTGTGCATGCACGTGTTTAATACACACATTAAATTTTAAAGAGACTGCTTTTAACTAATCACATCAAGTGGCATTTGTGCAATGTAAATATTTGCTTTGTTCCTTCAACACTCTTTCAATTACACTGAAAATTTCAGAGAAATAAAATTACAGCAGGCAGAATATTAAAAGGTGGGGAGGGGGGAGGGCTAGAAACTAAGCTTCAAAGGGAATTCTACGCTTTGATTTTAGTTTGCATATTCCAAACGCTCACATTTTGCTACACAGATGTCAAAGCAGGAGGTAGGTAATAAAGCAGGTTCCTTTAAGATTAAAAAAATACATTTAAAATGATCAAATCATACCATATTCCAAGTGTGACAGAAGTAAATTACGTATTATTAGTTCTTCCCTAAACCTCATTGAGCCATCCCTTTCCATCATAGCAGGAGTCTGTCAGCCACGCAGGTCCTTGCCAGAAATAAAGAATGGCAGCATTCCCCATCTGCTGATGAGTCCAATCTAAGGAAAGACAAAACACTGATTTTATTTAACTCTGTTCCAATTATTGTCAGGCAATACAAACAGTCATCATGACACACAGCCAGGTTTATTCATGTGCCCAGCAAGCCAGACCAGGCATAATAAAGAGATTACACACTCTGTTTGGAATACACACAACTTGGAATGGCTTTTATTGAAAGCTAAAGCATGGAAAATATTGGGTAGTAGATTTAGGTATCACACAATCAGAAATATGTTTGGCTGGAAACCACAACACATGGCATCTTCAGTGAATGAGGGCAACTATTATTACAGCATAACAGGCCTGCCTTTCTCTCCTTGCCAAAAGAAAAGCTTGGAATAGCACAGAGCACATGGCACTTCAAACTTAGAAGAGAGAGACTGGCAAGAGCTTTACGGACTATGAAGAATAAAAAGCAGCTTTGTAAAGTATCAGTCCCCTTGAAAAACAGTGCCCCATAAACCACCAGCAGCCTCTGGACTGAAGCGACCTTGAAAGAGAAGGGGTCTTAACACTAAGAAAGGGGATTGAAGGGGCAACAGGCTTGCTTGTTTTTGGGGCTCTGCTTGATTTCTGGGGTTCTCCTGCTTCTCACTGGCATTAACTTCACTAGCAGGCACGATCACGGACCTGGGGAGCCCACTCAGGGCAAAGAGATTGCTGATGTGCCAAGAGGACCCACTAACACATCGACCAGTTCCGTTTCATCATTTCTCTCTTCTTCTCCATCTGCTGAATTCTTTCTGCTAACTCCTTCGGGCTGGTCCATCTGCCTACCCTGAGGTTGCTCAAGTGACATACATGGCCCTGACTCACATGAAGGATCCCGAAGTACAACTACATAGCAGCTAAGGATGCGGAACTCACAGTGCAATCTCAGGTTTTCACTTGCTGACGGTCAGGCATCTCAGGTGGTTTCAATTTACAATCATCTGACCAGTCCCAGCAGAACATTTTCTTGCATAAGCTGCTCTTGCTTGTTTATAAAACCCCTCCAGGGGCACCAGGATGTTACAGCTTCTGGGGAGAAAACTTCAAGTTTAAGAACTGCAAAATAAGGGGTTTGGGTTTTTCTGACCCAGATCAGCGAGAACTCAGACCTGTTTTGACATGATGGCAATCTGTGCCATGGGTGTGGGAACAAACAGGGGCAGGAGGCTCTCATCAACCAGAGGAACAAAACAGAGCTCTACTTGATGTGATGCTGACCGAGTTTACTTCAAAAGAACCTCACATAGTGACAGAGGATGAGATGTCCAGAAATCATACCATGAGGGACACAGCAAGAATCTCCTCAGGTTCCAATCAAATAGATAAAAAAATGCTGATATACAGACAACAGCTACTCCCATTTCACATAACCATCCTACCTTAAACTACTTGTACTTTCCTCTGTAACTCGTCAGTCTGCTCCTTCTTAGTATTTACAACCCCTTGTCCTGTGTCTGTGTATCAAGGTGTGCAACAACGACCTTCTTACAGTCAGCAGCTGAACAGCAACTTTACTCTGAATAAGATAAGTGAAGTGTCTACACAGATTTAATCCAGTTAATAAGTATTCCAAAGCAACAGGATCAGACTTCCATAGGGCTGCAGCTGGAGCACAATGAAGGGCAGTGATTAAACTTCCTTAACCTGACCAGAGGGTGTTCAGCTTGAGCCCAGCTTCTCATGGTTTATCACCACTGGAGGAATCGACAATTTAAAACCTGGTTTAAACCAGAATAGAAAAGCAGTTACAGCAAGTATTACAAATAGGAAAGGGCTGGAGGGCTCATTTAGATTAGCACATTCCTGAGAGGTCAGTCTGGGTGTAGGTGTTCACACAGGCATTGAACACCATCCAGCCCACTACGATCCTCCACTGTGGAACGTGCCAGCACGGAGCATATCACAGGATGCAGCAGAATTTCAATCAAAAATCCCAGTCAAGGTGGAACTGTGTGACATCAAGGGTTTTATTTTATCAACCACAGACCTAGGCAGGCTGCGAGATCTTCAGGGTTTGGCTTTGTGCTCTCTAAAAAAGTGTAACACCCCTTACCATAGGCTGCAGCCAGGGGAGATCAGAACTCAGCATCTCCTGGGGCCTGGCTCTGGGCTGGAGGATACCTGTACTTCTCAATTGTGCACTGGAACCGAGATGTGAAACATCCCGAAGAATCTGGTAGGCTGAAGAGCTCTAAATTTCCAGAAGAATTAATTTCACCCTGATTTCTCATTCTTAGGAATTATCTTTCCAGGCAGCTAAATAGTGACTGTATCTGATTACAATTCAATTTAATACAAACCCTGCAGAATACCCCCACACATACTTGGAACAGAAAAGGGAAATGCAGTTATCTGAGATTCTCCATTCATTCAGAGCACAACACTGCTGAAACCTGGGCATGTCTCTCACCAGTGCTCACAAGATGGTGTTGTAATCAATGCCAAAAATTCAGCAGCTTGATCATATGCAATTTTTTCCTACTGACAAAGTATTCCACAGAGCTGTATTTCTATTCGGATTCCATATGTCACTTCAATTTCTGATCAGAGCTTGATCAAAAAAAATTACAGCCTGCCTCAATGAGCCAATAAAAAAGGATCATTTCTTTTTACATATCAACATTTATTATCTCAATCATTTCAGAAATATAATCATTATAGTCCCTTGTACTGGAACAGCTACTCCCCACACACTCACCCTGGGAGGTCGTCTGTACAGATGCTCTTTCTCCTTTTGTTTCTGAGGGTGGCTTGCTGCCCTACAGCCAAATATGCCATCAAGCATAATCAAGAGAAAAATTAATTATAAGAGGTTAAGGGTTTTTTCTCCCTATTCCTCAATACCCTGATTCTTTAATATTACTATTATTTCATTCCCTCTCCCCAAATAAGGTAAAGTTTGAGTAGAAAGTCAATGGCAGGGGAAGTCTCAAGTCAGAAGGAATGACTGGGTGGACCATCCTGAACTCTGGATTTCCCAGGCCTTTCTCATTCAACTGGGGCCACATAGGTTTAACCAGAGCACAGCTCACAGCTGGCTACACAGATTCTATAAGCATACACCCCCCCCCCCCCCCAATTGGAAACCATCAATACTCAGATTAATCTTGGGTTGCAGAATCACTAATCATATCTGTTTGTTTTATACTCCTTCAGAATCTTCCTAAGGAAATTGATCCATCCTTCCTACTGAACACCCAAGATAGACAGTCTTTTTGAAAACAGCATCCTTTTACAAATCACATCAATACTGGAAAAACACCAGAAAAAACAAGGCAGCTTTATCGATTTAAACATTAAAATAACATCTGCTTTTTGTGCCTGTGCAGTCTCCCATGAGTGATAATTGGACTTTTAAAGAGGAGCTGATATTGAACCTCTGTTATCCACCAGTTCTCCTCCCCTTTTTCATAACAGCCACAAAAGATTAGACATAATACGCCTAATTAGTCAAGAACAACATTAAAACCACTGCCTGGGCTGAAACACATAGGGAAAGAGTAACCGAGCTTCTTGGTAACTAGAGATCATCTAAGTCAAACCTGGGGTCTTTGTGTGACTGGATGCACAACTGGAAGGTGGACATTTGTATGACCTGCACAGCATGTAAACTCCTTACTGAAAACCTTATCCTCACCAAAAACATTTGGATCAATTCTATTACTTCCATTAAAACATTTGATCATTTTCATTCAAAATTGATTCTTTGTAACTCAAGGTACCTCAACTCAAAGTGATTTTATCTTTGCAGAGACTAATCCAAGTACTGCACGAGACAGAACAGAACCAAAACAAAACGTGGTTCCCATTTTCCAATGATAACGTTCCAGCTTTGTGAGTTGGAGCAGGAATGTTTAAGGATCACAGTTAAGCTACACCTAAGCTTCCCTGCAAAGTAAAGCTAAGATAACTAACTTCATGCTTTTGCTTCACACATTGCTGTTATCTCCAAAATCCACATGCTCTGCAGGAAATATTTGCTAAGTACAGCAACACACTACCCATGAATCTGGAGCAGATACTGAGGATCAGAATAAACTGGATGTGCTTTATACATCACTCCAAGCAGCACCACTCATAGGCAGAAAAGACTTAAAACTTCATAATAAAACAAGCCAAGGATTTGTGTATTTTTATTCATTTTAAATAGAGGATCAGTGCAGGATTGTGAGGACTTGTGTTCCAAGCCGATCAAACAACAGGAATCAACTGATAGTGAGCTGAAGCATCAGAAAGTGGAGAAATCCCTCAGCTGGGGTCCTACAGGCACAGCTCTGCCCCAGCACAGGGCTGCCATAGGAAAGGAGAAGCACCCAGTACTGCCTCCACCTATGGGTCGGTCACCCAGCTCAGGCTCCCAGCCCTGGTGCAAAGGAAAGGCCCCATAATCACCTCAGTCTACACCAGCACTTCCAGCCTGGCAGGAGGTACAATGTGGAGGCCTGACCTGCCACACACATGGAGATGCATCACCTGGTTGTGCACAGACAGGGGCAGGCAGCCCCACGGCAGCTGACAGGTTCCTGAACCCCTAGCATTTCATGGAGACACTAGACTTGTGATACAACCAATTTTAATTTACCCTGCCTTTATGTAGTGGGAGATACAAGACAACAGTACTCCCCCAACACACAGCAGCAGACTACTTAGATAAGCAAAGCTAAACTCAGAATTTTGACAGCAGTGTTGTCAATCTCACACCAGCTGCCTCACCAAATGCCCTCCTGTAGACAACTGCCCTGTGAAGGCAATGTGTGGGCACACAGCTACTTTCTCTGCCCTCAGCAGGCTGTACATTGGTTCATGTCTCAGCCTCAGGAGAGCAGCATTTTGGTCTTCCTTGCATGGCAGCACACAGCAGGAGCTTGCACAGATCTCCATGAGCAGTGCTGGAGCCACCACAAGCCTGGGAAAGCTGCTGTCCCAGCAGATGACTGTGATGTTGTGTGATCCATCTGCAGCAAACAGGATTACAATGGAATTGTGGTATCTGCATTTCCTTGCA